ATTGTTAATTAAAATATTCGGCATTATAATTAATTTAAAACTACTGTAGTCTCGAAGCTATGCTTTTTTTACGAGAATATGAATCGAGATTTCGGCAGGACTGTTATCGAAATAATCATTAATTTCTTTTTCAGGTTCCATATACACATATTCTCTACGTTCAGTATTGACCACACGAAGATTAAAAGAAGCATTTCCATAATCGTATAAATAGTTATCCCAAATTTTAGTACGTAATGTGCTGACTGATTCATTCTTAGAAATGGAAATTCCATTCGGCGTACTAATGTTTGTTGAGAAGATCTTTATGTACTTAATCGTTGGCGCCACGTTGTATTTTTCCGTTTCACTAAGCAAGACGACAGACATAATGCCAATCCTTCTGCACATAATACTATGTTTAATGAAAACCTTGCCACTCATGATGTCTTATCACCAAGCTTGATAATCCCCATGAAAAATTTCACGCTGAATTCACATCAGAGATTCAAAAAAATTTGACATTAGGAGGCTCAATGAATTCGAACGAGTCCTTCAAATCCATCACAACAATTCTGACGAATCCGATCAACAGAGCATGGCGAGTCAAGCTTCAAATCACTCCTCTACAAGCTCAGGTCAATTGTCGTTCACAGCATCAGCTTAACCACCTGGACCAATTTTAAGCAAATTTTTAATCAGATCAAGCCGAAAATAAATACACTTTGGAAGAGATGTGTCATACTATAGCAATAGGTACTCGTAAACTTGGAGGAATATTAGGAAGACGACGGCACAAAGCTTTTATGAAAGAAGTATTAAAAAGAAAGATGGCTATATTAGTACTTCAAATTGGTTTATGGATCGATAGTAAACAAATAACAGATAATAATAATGAGTAGTGAGTAGTGAGAAAAGAACAGCCATTTTCGCTTTGCAAGGGTCTAGGGGCCGGCTAATTATTGTTTAGTTGGCCTTTTATTCTCGTATGCGTGTAAAAAGTACGTATGATATCATTGGGTTACACATCTGATATTTCTATTTTTAGATTTACAAAAAATAATTTAACTGTACATCTTCGCGCCACTGTCTTGCGTGTTCAAAGCCCTTATGCTATAGTTAATAGAAAGATGCTATGGTTAATAAAAATAAAAAGCCAAATAGAATATGACTATTTGCCATCAAAGATAATAGAATCATGTCGTTAAAATCACGTCTAGGGCTTTGATTTACATCTAATCGCGTCTGTGTTTATTTTTTTTACCATTTATTTCCGCGTAATATTTATTTTTTTCCCTATAACATTGTATATACCATGTCTACTCTTTGGTCTTATATCTTTCAAACGGAATTTTCCAACAACTCTTATTACAAACAATAACCATGAGCTATCTTGGCCAAGATGGTAAGTCATGTTTAGCTTTGCAATCTTCCAGTTGTACCCTCACCAAGAGGAAAGTTTTTTTCAGTCTTTAATATGTTTTAACCTTCGAATAGTTCTTATTTCCTACTTAACGGAGCAAAACAATCGGTCATATATTGGGTTTTTAAATCTTCACCGTGATGTCATTGTTGCTTCGCTACGATCTTCAGATAAGTGGGACAGCCTTGACGCCACAAATTATTTGATCAAAAAATCTTTGTGGCTTTGAAAAAAAAGGTGCTTTTTTTATTTTGCAAAGAGGGTAACTCCTAATCGAGTGCGTCTTGATTAGAGTAGTGGTGTGTTATTGTACATATATGTACACACATCACTACCTAGGAGAACTACCGGATTTGACAGCTTGGTAACCACTCCAAGTCCTCAATTCGGGTGCTCTAACTTTGTTGTTGGTAAAGTCATTGATTCCGAAGGAGGAATTAATTGGGAATCTTTCTTTATCACTAAATAAAAAAGCCAATGCACTGCTAACAACATTCTTTCTTACAATAGGTCAAGTCGGAACGTTCACGAATTGTAAATAAGTTGAAATGTTATTGGAAGGGGATGGTTGCAGAACGAAAAAGGGTGTGTATATTGGTTATATATGTACATTTCTTATTATGATAAGGATCTTGACTTTTGTATAAAATTATAGGGACCTGGCAAAAAAGGAAAAGGAAAGGAAAACATTAATACTGAAGGAACCTCAACTCAACCTTTAAATGTGAGAGTACTTAGAAAAAGAAATCATGTTGATTATTCTGAAGTTGATTTCTCCGATGTCGATTCTCATGTAGGTGATGTGGAGAAGAGAGTAAGTGCTGAAGCACGAAATTTCTCGTCCTATAAAACCATAGTGGAATTAAAAGAGGTACTACGACAATATAAGGTTGAGGATGGAGATATTATGAGCATTGAGCAATTCAATCCAAGTATGATATCTTTTTTCAAATTCTAGCAAGTTAAAATACATAACTTATTTTTTTGAAGTATTTGAGGAAATTGACGATAATGATAAAGCACTCATCCGTTGCATGGAGAACATAGAAGAAATGTTAACGAACATAAAAACAATGTCTGATGCTAATGAATACACACGTTGTGGGTTTATTTCTTGTATATTGCATGCGTCAATCACTATTACAAGAAGGGCAACCAATAAAGAAATCTTTATTGTGCTGCAGGAGGATGTTTCAGGTGAAGAAGTATCAGGACGGGTTGATTATGCAATTACAAGGAAGGAGGGCTTCGTGTGTATTGTTGAAGGTAAACAACATAATATCAAGATAGGTTATCTTCAAAATATTAAGCAACTCGAAAGCGCCTATCACATAAACAAAAAAAAACAGACGGCGGATCAGGCATTCGAAAATAATTATTACGACTACCTCTATGGGATTGTATCCACGGGTATGTGAAAAATTTCTTTTGACCGTTTTTTCATCTTGTGATTTTTTTTTACTATCATCAGGTTTATCTCATGCCGAGGAATGGCATTTCATTATATATACCTCGGAAGGAATATATAGTACAAATAATAATGAATACCTAATAAATCTCTCGAAGACGGCTGTCAAAGAAAATCCTGACGTGCTTCGAAATAATGTGAACGGATAATTGGAATTATCGTTGGATTATTGAAGGATCGGGTTAGTGTAGATAATTCCTCAGCTCGTAAGAGATCGAGGATCAAAAAAATTACCAAAAAATAATGGGTCGATAGATCTCCAAATTTACATGTATTTTATACAGTATTAATAAAGCAGTTAGACCTAAATGGTCACTTTTTTCGATAATTAATTTGTGATTTCACGTGATTATTTTATAAATTCAATTTTTGAACATATCTGCATTTTGTATAAAACAGTGCAGAATTGGAACGGATTGCGAAAGAAAAAAAATGAGCTTGAAGTTAGAATTGTGGAATTAGAACGGTCTGCAAGAGAAAATATTGAGCTTAGATCCAGGGTTGCGAAATTAGAACAAAAACTATCACAAAATGACTCAAGGAGTAAGGATGCTATCGCATCTGAAGAAAAGAGCAACCATATTGCTAAATCGAATAAGGACACCAGTGAAATCAGGCCCAAAGAGTTGACTTTGACGATCACGAATCTTCAGTTGATGTCACATCTTCTGAAACGGAAAATTCTAACGATACTTTGACATCTGATCTATCTACAATACTTCAAAATTTAATATATCACCTATTCGCACAGAGAATAAATCATTGGAAGACAAGAAAATGGATGATTTCATAATTCAATATATAAGGAAAGAGTTAGTAAAGAGATAAGGGAGAGAAATCGGGAAAAAAAGCTCCTAATATCCGATGATGTGTACCGATAAGCAGGTCAATCGCACAAGAAGAAAACAATGCAAGGCATTGTACAAGATGTATTTGATTTACCATAACTTCATTTGATGGAAATTTTACTTCCGACCTGGAAGGAAAAATGCCAAGAAATATCTAATGTATTGCAAACCATAGCTTGCTTATATGAAAAAGTATGTAATGCCGAAAACGAAACTAATCAAGCTGAAATTTTATGCTTGTATAACTATTTTAAGGAATTCTATTATCAGGTTAAAGAGATTACGAGACATATAGAGCTAGGATGATTAATGAGCTATTAGAAAAGATAGGAGTGGATAAAATTAAGTATATTAAAAAATATAGTGCAA